CTAATAAATATAATAAAAATCGATCAAATCCATTCTTTAATAAGTTAATAGCACCATTGGTATCTAACAATTGAGAACCCAAAATGATGCGAAATAATAGGGGCTACTGGATGCAAAACGCACTAATAGTGCAGAATATCCGGGAGAAATAATCATATAATTTTGACATAAAATTTTCAAAATTATGTAGCCGGAGTGACGCTAATGTTGCACAAGTGGTCCAACTAATTTGAGCATTTGCTACATTTCTCCGTTTATATTGCACCATAGGTGCAAGAATATATAATAATTATGATCTATTTTGTCGGCTTATTGTGCACCTTCGTGAAGGTGCACTAGTATAGCACTTTGCACCGAAGCTTCAGTGCAAAGTTCTATCTAAATAATTTTAACAGGGTGAGCTACTTCTAACGTTACTACGGTTTATTTAATATAGATTGAATGACTTCCTTACCCCAATAATATCGTTGAAAACACAGTCCTGGTGCGGCATGTAAGAAGCAAATACGAATGCTACTAGCGACCGAATCCTTTCTGAATTATCCTCCCACCATTCATCACTCAATTCGAATCGGTCCTCACGAAAAGTACGAGTCACGTTTTTGAAGTTCAATTTAAAACCGAATAAATCATTAAATCCGATTTGGTAATCGGTAACCGACATTTTCCCGGTTAGCGGGGTGTTCAGGGTAAACTTTAAGGACACGAAGAGATCCCTCAGTTCGGCGGAATATTCGTCTTCCCCGACATATCGGTAAAGATCTGGGATAAATGGGGAGCCCTCCCACGAGTTGGAGAGGTAATCTCCGACAAAGACTAACCGCGAGGCGTTGAATGATCCTTCAAAGGTAAGCTTCTCCCCGGTAAAGTTTATGGAAATGTGCGTCTCAGCGTCACGCAATCCGTAGATGGTTGCGTTTCTAAAATTTATTTTTATCTTATTTTATAAACGTTTTTTACTTTAAATATTAGATAATATGTAATTTGATATTATTTTATCTTGCAATGTATTATGGCAAGATTCCCTGGCTAATTGTCGCCCGTCTCATTTTGCCTCATGTGTCACAGAGAACTAAAAACTTTATACTCTTCTACTTCAATATTCAATGGAATTTAAATGCAGAGATAATTACTTAAGGTGACAAATTAATACAGAAACAAAATATTATCAGGGGAAGGAAATTTTTTTAATTTACTTGATGATTCAAGTAAATTTTAAAAAAAATTTAAATTTTAAAAATTCTGAAAATACAGAATGTTTAAAATAAAATAAAATTTCATTGAATATGGAAATATGTAGAAGTGTTAATTTTAACATCTCCTTAAGGAAACATGACACATGGGGCGGAATGAGAATGAGTCGTAATCTTGCCTTAAATACTTGATTGTTTCTAGATACGAAGTCGATTAAATTAGTTTATCTGCAACTTACTTTGACGTTACGTCCACCTGACAGTACACAAAATACATATTAAATGGAAAAAGGAAACGAAATGGAGGAAGGATTATTCCGCCGTCGTCGCTTTCTGAAATTGAAATCCCCTCAAGGAATGGTTCCACAAATTTCAAATCTGTTAAGGTTGCTGCTTCTGAATACAGTAAAATGAAATTTAAATACATATGTAAAAAAATCTAAATATTACATATTTTATATTGACGACTTACTTCGTAATGCCTGCAGAAGTTCATTTTCACCACAAGATAAACCTACATAGTGTACAAAAATTATCTGACGGTCCCAAAAAAATCATTCCACCTGCCACAAAACTTGTCAGAACTTTCTTGTTGTTGTGTTCTCGGTACTAATTTTTTCTGACAATGTCCCTCAGACGTTTATGTTCAAATGTGGGAAAAATTATAAAAACAACCTCACGTTTAGATGAAGGAGAATTCGTTTCATAAATTCCTCAAAAATTTTGGGTTCCCTGACATACTGTCAAGTTGTGGAGGAACCGGAAGCCATCCAGAGACCCAATTCATCTTGGACGACCCACAATAACCTCAGCCATAAGTTTGGACACGATTTTGAAAATAATGTGCCGAAAATCTGCAAGTTCGACCATAAAGCGTAGTGGTCCTAAATCTCGCAGATCGATTTTAACGATTTTTGGTAGGAAAGCTGTCGTTCCATTATCCAGAATCAGGTAAAACCCAGTGAGTAGGGTCACTTAGCTTTCATGAGTCCCAAAACAACGCATTTTCGAACAAAAACATTCAACATCGACTAAACTTTAGCAAATTTCTGGAGCAAAACGGCTTTTTGACTGCTGTCGAAAAGGGTGGAGAAATTTTATGTACGCAAAAGACCGGAATGAATGGTCATCATGTGGCGAATCCTCACTATACAAGGTACCAAATTGTGAAGAGAAATGAGGTCCCCGATAAGAAGCTTCAAAAAAACTGACTACCATTGATGGGTTGTGGTTGGCTCTGCTGTCTTGGCGCCACCGAGCTGCACATCAATTTTGTTTGTCAAAATATGGTCGGACAGTTTTCGGGTAGCCACATCTGGCCAATGTACTTCGATACTATGCAAACTAACAAACTTTTTCCAAATTCGAAACAAATTTAATATTAACAGGATGGAGCACTAGCCCATGCTTCAAATGCTACCACTCGCTTTTTAGACAAGCGGTCGCTTATCATCTTGAGGAGTAGCTCGGAAAAAGCCCGGACACACACCGAGGTGAACATTTATTGCCTAAACTTAAAAGCAATGCGTTGAACAAACCAGTTCCACCCGATTGTGCTTCCCTGACTGAACTTTTAAGAACAACTTTGAAAAAAATTCCAAAAACTGGTTTGGAAAATCGATCAAAAATTTTCAGGACAAGATTTCAGGACATGCAAAAATCGTCTGAGGACACACCAAATAGTGTTGTATTACATCATATAAACGATTTCGTCAATAAAAATTTCCTCGCGCCAAAATTCCAATAGTTGGAAACTGTACTTTGGACCGTCAGATAATTTTTGTACACCATGTATGGTGAGGGCGAGAGCGATAAAAAACTTTGTTGACATGTTGTATGTTCGATCAAGCTTTAATATGTAATGGTTTGACCAAAAATATTCCAATTTGTATTTAAAACAGAATTCATACAAAACAAAGGCTTGGAAATTACGTAGTAGGTTCAAAAGTCATATTCTTATGACTTATGTATGTAAATGATTCAACATTGATAAGGTTAATTGACTATGAATGGTCACATGTCCAACTTTTCGAGCCAGTATAAGGAAGAAGCTAAAAAACTGATATGATTTTAATTAGCAAAGTTCAGATAAGGTACAAAAGGCGTTAGGACATGGTTTTGACGAATTCATACTTTAATTGCGGGATGGTTTTTAGTCGTAGAGATTTCTAACTTGTTTTATGTGAAAGCCCATGTCTCAAACTATAGGTAAGCATATCTGGCTTCCGATTTTGTGTACTCTGCGAAATGAGGCAAGGTCAAATTTGGAGAGGTGTCCTTTTTTAGTTTTCCAAACCAGTGTTCTTATAAAATGGCGTTGAACTAAATATTTTTTTCTTAGGTCCTGATGCAAAAATCGTCTTTGCGACTATTTTTAAGGGACTTAGCATGCTTTTCACTATATAAAACCACGTTTGCCTTATGCGTATCTTTTAAGTCCGTTTTGCAGTCTAATTTCATACTTGTCTTAATGGAATGCGCTCTTTAACGCAACTCTTCCACTTTTACGGCCCCCACATTTTACGACTTTGATGCTAAAAATCCCTAACGTGGTTTTTATCCAAGGTACATATAGTATATTGCACTTGAAGTACTTTTGACAAAATTTTGATAAGTGGTTATACCCCACGGACTGAGTTTTCATCAGACCTTATAAAATTTTTGGAAAAGTTCCCGTCGTTTTCGATGTCGAACTTCAGAAATAATTTAACTAACCAAAACGCAATAATTTTATTATTTTGTCACTTGTACCTTGTAGATAAAATAGTTTTGCAGTAGGGGACACAAAAAGATTAGTAAAATTTATTTTCTAAAAAATTTGACCATTAATTTTCCAAATAAGTTCACGAGTTTTTTAGGATTCCGCGACAGCTGATTAGCTAGGGTCGTTCTCCAAGACTGCTTACACAAAATCTTCACTGTTTAATTTAATATTATTTGGGACACTTAGAGCTTTGCCCTCAATCTTCATTTGACCGAGTGGGTCCGCGTTCAAGGTCAGCAGGTCAATTTTCCTGTGCACGGTCCAATTTATCAATTTTCATGAAAAAGTATCAGCGACGATGGAGGCCCAACATTATGTAATTCATGTAGATTCTTTTATTATTACATGCAATGATTATCTAGGGTTGTAATATTAACAATCATTCACCTCTGACCTCTTAGGTCATCATGCTATATGAGTAATTCAGTTTGGAAAGTGTTTTTTTGGCTCCTTCCAACTCTGGGGGCACTGGAGGGGGCATTTATAAAGCTATCGGCCTAAAATTTTAAATATATCTTTTTGAGAGTATTATTTTACAAATGACCAAAAATCAGTTCAAAATTCAACTCCCCGTCAGAGATATTCACCCGCGAATTCGTCAAAACCATGTCCTAACGCCTTTTGTAGACGAGTAGCCTGGTCACGCCACATTATTGCGAAATTTAACGGGACTCGTGGTATCAGGTTTGACTATGGTGACAGACATCATTTTTAATTACATTTTTAACGTGATATCAATTTTGTTGCGCATTTTCTTTATTGTCGTCAACACTTTGAGATTGTAAGCCCTTGACAATTCCCAATTAAAGTTATCATTATTTATTGCATTTAAAAATGTGTCCATTTAAAGTTTGACATTAATGCGCAATGCTTAATTTGATGCAGACAATATTCGAACCCAAAATTTGGAGGCGTTACAAATATACATTCACTACAAATAATATCGTCGTTTCAAATTGAGTGATTGAATATATTTGGGTAACAGATTTGTTTGTTTTTGCTCAATTTTGTTTTATAGAAAGTAGGAAATGCAAATTGTTACATATTTTTTAAAAGAAAACATTCTAAACTTTTTATTTAAATTCTACTTTGGTTCTAATATAAATTATAGATATATTCCCCGATTTATAAACACTTGTATATATTTTTATTGCATACATAGCAAATAGCTGTCGTCTCTTTAAATTCAACAATTTATAAGTTTAACTAATATAAAATGAATATTTATTCTTATTTTATGAAAAGCAACTCGGAAGGATGGGACAGTAGTTGTGGGCCACAACTTGTGGCTCCCTTGTCATCTCAGGTTTGGAAAAAGTTTATTACGGATTTTTCCCGTAACACACATCATTTCCATTGGTCAGCTCCAGCCATATTGATCGTTCTGGATATACCAGGGCGGGGGGAAGGACGGTAGTGTCTGCCATGGTTGTTGGTAGGGTTGTCGCGGTGGTGGTGGTCTGTGCGGTGGTCGCACTGCTGGTCGCGGAGGTGGCCGAAAAGGTGGTCGCCAATGTACTCGTTGAGGCCGCGGTATTAGTTGTATCTAATAAAAATTAAAGCTTCCATGTATGTACACATCTCATGTTTTCATTACTTCTCGAATTTTTGAAAACCTGTAACATTTTCATAATTACTTACGACGCTTTCATTTTGGGCAGCTGCCGCCCCCGTGTTGCAGAACAAACCTCCACCCTCGCATGACCACGTCTTAAAATAATTTGAGCTACAAAATTACTCAGGTATTCACATTAACTTTTTTGAATTCCACTTACGTCGTTGTTTGGCATCGCCACGGCGGAGAACAATGCGACAATGAAGATCATCCGCCCCATTTATTTAGAATATCGAGTATTTAAATTAAGATTATGAAATACTTGTTTTTTTTGCTCTAAAAATTTGAATTCTTTTCAAAGATGCGTCATACTGGAATAAAGTTATTCGGTGCTGTTGGGTGTAGAAATTAAATGATTAACTGATGATCTCGGGGCTAAAATATGTTTAGAAGGGGAAATAGAACAGCAAAAGAATTGATTATGGTAAAAACATGTTTTCTGACTGATTTATTAATTATTTATTCCTATTATTTATTCCTAAAAACCTGTGGTAAATAGGTTCTCCGCAATGGGTTAAACACCTTGTCCAACATTATACTCATTTTTGCGGTTTGTTATTCAATCTGATTATAATCATGTTTGTTGGCGTTTCCATTTATATTCAAATGATGCTCCACGACGTATCGGTTGATGAATAGAGATGAATAGATAATTTGTAATATAAACGTTTGCATCGTGCTTGATTATAATTTGGACGTCATGAATTTGGTTCATTTGGCAAACTATGAATAATATGTGTCTGCTAGAATAAAAATGGGTTTGACAATTGTATAAATATTATTCCAACTAAATAATAAGCTAAGTAAATATAATTTGATTCTTCAAATATTTATGTATATGACCAAAGTGATATATTTATTTAGTTATTAGCTCACCCTGCGAAGCATGAGAGCCATGGAATTCCTCTTGTCCGTCTGTCCTTACATTAATTCCGTCCGTCTGTCTGTCCGTCTGTGTGCTCACGAGTTTTTTCCATAAATTGATGCTAAAATGTAGTTAGAGTCATATACGCCTGCTTTTTAGTGATATTCGTCATCCCATTTCTGAGAGTGTGGAGTGCATTGAATTCACCTACACAGAAATCCTGTACGGTTGTCTGCAAGAGATATCTGGTAGCATGACCAGTAGGTAATATTTTTAAGACTGATCACATATGCATGCGAAATATGTTTAATTTAAGCCTCCACCAGATGCGTCAGCAGGATCTGGCCTATTTAAAGAATTCTCTAGTAGTATTTATTCATCAAACTTATTGGGGCAACATACTATAATATGAACCAAACGTTGATTGAAATGGTTATCAAAATTCGCAGCATATGTACGTATGTATGTAGGAAGCAAATACCTAAATGTATTAAACATTTATTGAACCTGTGAAGTACATACACACATGTGGGCATTAACATATTTATACCGGCATAATCATGGATTTTCATGGATTTTCATGGAGTCAGCCAATCTTTCGTTTATATGTATGTATGTAAATGCTTATATGTAAAAGCAGAGTATTTAGTTCATTCCATTACAGAACCGCTAGCTTCCGGATGAATATTAATCCAGCAGGTTGCACTCATATAAAGAGACAAATTCACGCAAATCAGAAAAACAGTGTAACAAAACGATCAATAAAGGAGTTATCGAAAAATGGTCGTATCAACTAAAGTCCTTATTCCTTTGGTGATTCTTCTAACCACAAACCTGGTAAGAGAAATCAGTGATTAGAAGCTATTATTCGCAGGGTATGCTACATACCCCGGGTTTTTGAGGTATTGGGGTTTTGTGGGTTTTAGTGGGTTTAGGGGTTGTCCAATACCCACGGGTAGTCGGGGTTTTCAAATATAATAAAGTATTATAACCGGGCATTACTAATAATTCTGAAGTTAATTAGTTGTGAAAATTAAATTAATAAGCGGCTTTGGTGAGAAATTACTCACAGTTTTTTCCAAACCTAATACATGAGACAAATACTCATCTTACCCCGAAAAAAACCCCGACTACCCCCAAAACCCTGACAACCCGAGAAACCCAGGTAAAACCTATATGGGTATGGGTTTTCAATAGCAAAACCCCAGGGTTTTCCTTACCCTGCTTATTGGTGTCATGTTTTAACTCAGATTTTCGTTTTTTTTTCAGAAACATACAGCCGGTCAATTTCCAACGGAAGGAAATGGAGCCAATGTCATACGGGAAACTCCTAAAAACGGATCCGAGTTAATAGCAACTCCACCATATCGACCGGGTAATACTGATTGTAATTTCTGTGGCGGATTCACAATGTCTTCATGTAATGACTTTTGCTACCAGAAAGGGTATGATTTCTACTATTGTGACGCATGTTATTCCTGCTACTGTTATGTCGATTGTGAGACGAAGGGCTTCATGTATGTAAACTGTGTTTAACGAGATAGATAATTTATACCATTCCAACAAAGTTTTAGCGTGCTCGTAAATACTTTAAATAAACCGTAGTAAAGTACTATAAGAAGTAGCACTCGTGTAAAAATGACTTGTAAATAATTTTGCACCAATGTAGCAAAAAAACGAAGAAAATACATAATTCTACATAATTTTGAAACTTTGATATCAAAATTGTATAATTATTTGTCTCGGATATTCTGAACTATTAACGCGCTTGGTCTTACCACTCCAAGTTGTGTCGCACCAGTTTATGTTACTGATTGTTCGATACTAACGGTGCTAATAATTTATTAAAAAATGGAACCAGGGTTAATTAATTGGCATCAATTGATGCGAAAAAAATCGTGAACAGACATACAAACAGACGGGCAGACAGACCGACGGACAAGAGGAATTCAATAGCTTTTATGCTACGCAGGGTGAGCTAATAAGTTTTGGATATGCAGCATCATGTATATACATAAATAAATGTAAAATTGTATTTCATGTATCCAAAGATTCAAAGATCTCAATTTAAATCAATTCTTAAGTACAACCGCAACTTAAGATGAGTAATTAGCTATGTAAGGCATGATAAAAAATAAATGATGGGCAAGGCCGTAGGAAAAGTGGTTTCAGGTGGAGAGCACTCTCCAGGCCATACCGCCTGTGAAAGTCCGATACAAGATATAATTCACCCTGCCAAGCATACATACTGCACTACATAACCATTCCTTAACCAATTATTTTTTGGTCTTACCGACCTTTAAAGTCGTTCGTAACCATGCCCAGATACATTAACATGTTAATATTTACGAAATTAGATATTTCTATGCATATAAAGTTGAAATATTTATCGCCTTACCAATTTATATCTTCCAGGAATCCCAAAACCTATCGCATAATTATGTTTGGGGAATTCAAACCCAATAATCAACTATCTACTAGACAGTCCAAACTTAAAAGACGGTAGTCATTTCCAAAGAATCCTATTTGATCGTAATATCTCAGCAGGTACAGGTGCACGAAAACTGATACTTATATACGTATTAATTCTGGGAACTCAAACTCCTTAATTTTAGGATGGATTCGGGTTTTAATTACTTCTTGGAAAATTGTCGAATCTGTTCTTCGAAGTATTTGTAAATACGGGTGGAGTAAGAGAATATCTAAACTATATAAAGCAGGCGAGTGTATCGTTGCTGGCTGGGTCGGTGGCTTAGTTGAGAAGTTAGCCTCTCCTTTTCTTGCTCCACTCTGCAGAGAGAACAGGAGAGGCTAACTTCACTAATGTTGGAGTAACGGACTTATCGACGGGCCTATTTTGCACGTCAATTGACGGGCTTCTACACCAGTATTTATATAATGCGGACTCTACCTCGGTATTCTGTATGTAGTGAGTGACAAGATATTACTAGCGTAAAATAGGTATCGTAGAGTGTGTCCAGCAATTATAGGCCTCTTTTCATTCACTACATCATCAGAAATTCATGATGGATTTAATCAGTGTTTACAGAGAAAAAAGGCAGGCAGTGCCTTTTTGCCGGCCTCTTTGCCTTTTTGCCCCACAAAAATGCTTGCCTTGCTGCCTTTTGCTAATTGGGGCGAGATGAGACGAATACCCTGAGATAAAATTGGAGTGAAAGTTATTCATTGCGTTTTTATACTTTTTCCAAATATGATCCATACATAGCCCAAAATTTGATTATGTAGGCTGATGACGAAATATCTAGGGAGAAGTATACAATTAATTTGAAGTGTCGATGAAAGCCAGAACCCTCCAGCACATTTGTGTAAACATTAAATGTACTCTGTAATTTCTATAATACGTTATAAAGAACAAGAAATCGGGTTCAATCGTCAAAAATCGAGCAAAGAGGCATGAAACAGGCAAAAAGGCATCAAAAAGGCCAAATGGCATTGGAAAAGTCAAACAGGCAAAAAGGCATCAAGAAATAGCAAAAGGGGTAACTTTTTGCACCCGCTGGATTTATTCCATACTTGGTAAATAGCATAATAGATTTAGGTATTGTTCAGCAGCTTATCAAACCCTAATGTCGTCAAGACAGTATGAACCAAACAATTGATGAAATTCCTTTAGTTCTATCATTGTTGGACACACTCTAAATATCCCGAGATAATGATACGAAATTGGATATTGCGAAGGGAGGTCTTAAATTAAACCAATACACTACGTAATCCCGATCGATTCCAATTTATCTCCAGAATATAAATACTTCTAGTTACCAACCGCATCGGTAAAGTTGTATTTTGAATAGCTTTGCTTCTTCCCAACAAAATCTTTCCCCTCATCAAAGGATTATATACGGTTAAAACTCAAACTACTGTACTGGGTAAGATAGTACAAATGTGGGTGAAAAGTGCATTCGCCCTGATAAGAGTAGCTAAGCGAAACCGGATTTGAGAATTTCAGCTATTAATTTTGTAATAATATTTTTTTCAAGAATCAAGTTGAAATCGTCTGGTTGTCAGTAATTCGTTGAACATACACGCAAACAGGTTCAAATTTTTATAGTAGTTATTTAAAGTACCTCAATTTATGTAATAATAAAATAAAATAAAAATAATCCTTTAAAGTCAACAGATATCAGTTAAAAGCAAACTGGTTTCCAATCTATGACTGTCCTTCTCACCATATAACTCTGGTGATGAGCAGTGCCGTATCTGTCCTTGGTCCAGCCTGGAGAGTAAAATTCTGGTCCGGCCTTTTATGTGCAAAATTATTAAAATTGATACAGCGGATTTCTGTCGCTTATTTCTTATCTACGGCTATCGTCACAAATACAGAGGGTGCCCCATTTATTCGTGGAAGGGTTTAATAATTTTTTTTTACCCCACAAGCATATTTTCCTAAGGCGAAACTTGTTCCATATGACGGCCCTTGTTTTTAACTTTAAGAATGCATCGCTTTTTATCCGATAAAAAAACTTCCAAGGACTTTTCTTATTTCGTATATCTTTCAGTCATTATTTTAAGCGTTCCAACGTGCGTGAAAATTAGTAAATCGGTTCGGAATTTTCATGATTGGTTAAGTCTATATTTTTGTAAAAACTGTACCTTTATCTTCTGTCTAATATTTTTAATTTCTGATATACATAAATTTAAAATTCCCGAAAATCTCAAGTTCATATTTAAATTTGATTTTAAATTAAATTATAGCTTCTTACTGTACTGAGAAAGTTTTTTTAATTCTTACTAATACAGGGCCTTTAAAAACGGTTTGGAACCGTTTTTCACAGAACATATAATCGGGTTACTTAAATTTGCAAAAACCCAATTTCAAACCGGTTTTCCAAATCTCAAGATTTCGGATGTCGCAGAGATGGGACTTGATTGCCAAATTTCACGAAAAAGAAATTATTGAATAAGTTATGTACATTAAGACAATTTTGATTATCGTTTTCAGAATTCAATTTCTACTTGTCCACTGTTTGACAGAAGCGTATTAACATTTGTAACACCCCACTTTCGTGAATTAAAGCTCCTAGAAAAAAGGTAACGCATGCAAATCAGTTTTTTCGCTCGGAAATGCTAGAACGCATTCATAGATTTTGAAAAAATTAAAGAGGAACATGCTCCTCGCCATTGTTATGAAAGACTTAAAGGTCGTTTAGACCAAAAAATATTTGGTGAAGTAGGGATCATGTATTTAGTGCTATGGGGTAAGTATTTAATGCAAAATATTCGAAATAGTCATAGGACACCAACATTTTGCATGAGTGGGTCGACACAGATAGAATGGTTAAGTTATTAATGCTCGATTGATAGTATCACGGGCTTTTCAATTACATATGAAAAATTGTTTGATAAGGTTATTAACTCAAACTTGAAATTTTTTCAACTGCAGGACTATCTATCTTATGTTACCTCAACCGATTTACAGAAATCGTCACAGAAGGCTTAAGTTTGAGTATTGTGTCATTTTGTGAGATCACTGAAACTTTTCAGAAGTGAACAAAATCAAGATTCAATTTATAACTATGTAAGCGTTGGTTTGGGACGTTAGGTTCTATGTATAAGTTAACATGTACATAGGAGGGTCAATAATATCTAGTGTCTGCATCACCCGGCCGGTACGGCCCTTCGGGCCGTCCGGCCTGGAGAGTTCTCTCCACCTAAAACCAGTGCTCCTACGGCCCTGGTGATGAGTCGGATCTTCTCACAGAGAACGGACTCTGCGAGGGCTCCCCTTTCTGGCATTGCCAGACCGTCTGGCCGGGCTCACCCAACCATGAGAGGAGCACCCACCCCGTACTAACACCGAGCCGAGTAGGATTAGCAAATAGCTTCCCGGACAGAGAGGAATCGAACGTGTGACTGCGTGGTGACAGTTCCGCCCCCGAACCCCTAAGCCAAAGGGCCTTACTTGTAGTTTAGTTTGCATAGATTTTATTTATTTACAATGTGCCATGAAACCGCCAAATTGCTAGGAGGGTTTGCAGTTCACTCCTATGTACGTAACTGGCGCCAATGTTATACTTTAACTGTGGTGCAAGTTACCAAGGACTGAAGTACAATCCCACCTTGAGAATTTATGTTTTCAGCGAACACCATGTCCTCCTCAGTTAGGATTGCCATCCTGATCGTGACATTGGCTTCGTTCCCGTCATATAATACGGGTACAGTTTGGACCGGCCTGTTTCGCGATGTTGATATCACCTTCATTTTAAATCCGAACGTTGATGAGTTAATTAACGTGGACAGATTTCCCATACTTTGACGTAATCAGGGTTCATAATTTGTACACCCCGCTACGACAATTTGTCCTTGTCCCATCAATATTTGAATCGTTGGATATAGATTTGATCTTAAGTCGCCTTACGGTATATGGGTATCGGGAAACCGAGAAGTCTTCTCGACCTAAAGTCAGCTTCGTCAATCTTATCCGGTCAGGCACTTGGGTGGAAAAGTGTCAAAATTTAATCATGTCGTCTGCATCCCCACTCCAACAGGATATCGTGTTTGGTCGTATTCAAAGTCACCAAGATTTCCATTGTCTCCAGCGGCACGTGGGATTTTTAGGGACTGCGAAAGTAGTCTTGTTCACGGAAATTGCCTCGTTACCCTTTTTTGTTCCTTGTCTAACTTGTCATTTGATAACATTAACTGAAGTGAAACCAGTATCGTTTCTGACCATCTGGGAAGCTTGGAATGCGC